CATCTTCTTTTCTTCCTTCTCCCAGGTTCTCCTGCTTCTAGTTCCTCCCTAATTGTCGGTATCGAGAGACCTCGATACCACCTACGTAGGCGGGCACGCCCTGTCGATATTTGATAGGGTGCCAGACAAACCACATGTGTGATGCGAATTGGCGCGCGCCGAAAGCCTTAGCGGGCCTCGACAGAGAGAGGAACGAAAAAAACAGGGATGTGCCCTGTTGGGATGCTATGCACAGGCGCCTGACGAAGGAGGTGGGCTCTTTGGCCAATCGGCAGAGACTCCAGGTGATGGAGGTGAGACGAAGAGGGCGTCAACTTGCGAGAGAACTGAGCTGGTATGAGAGGACGGGGACTGTGATTTCGCTATCGTGTTGGAGATTCAGGTTTGAGTCTACATACAGGAGGTACAGTGAGTGACACGATATGTGCCGAGGAAGAAGAGACTCTGGGAAGATACAACGATCGTCATACCGTAGTGTCCAAAGTGATTGAGTCAAATATCTTGATCACATCTTCCAAATCTCCATCTGCAATGCGATGCGGGATCCAACTGTAACACGACCTCATCATCGTGCAGCTTGTCACACTCTGGGCCTATTCGCTTACAGCTACTGTGCCTGAGAATCACTACCAGCCAGTCGCTCTCGATAGTCCAGTCCAGTTCAGTCAACCCGTCATTTAACAGCCCAATCCATCCATCCATCCCTTCCAATCCATGCCTGGGACAAACTCAAACCGATGTACCGTACCTGTTGATGTGAATGCACCTTGTGCATGTCCATCTGCCCACGGGGGATTTATTTGATTTGATACCTACAATTCTCTTCCAGTATAACCACTTATCAACCCCTTTTGCCCCATCCTCTTCCTCTTTTTTCCCTCTTTATCCTCTCGTCCTACTCTTCAATTCTGGGATTACCCTGCCCCTCTACTCCCGGTTTTTCCTCACCGACAAATCCACCGCCTCCAACAAGCTTAGCTTTTCCACTTTCACCTGTTTTCCCCTCCAGCTCCAGCTGTCTCCCAGACGAGACCCTTTTTTTTCTTGTCCATTTCCATCAAGTGGACCGAACTCTCTGTTCCCCGGCGCCACCGCCTAGAAAACCAACTTACGTGCTCCGTCTCTTGAGCCACAGCGAGCTAGTCCCCTGCAATTGAACCCCCGGAGGCCGCTGTACCGCAAAGCTCTGGGCTACCTCTTTCAGTGGTTATACCGGTACAAAGCAAGGAACCTGACCGACCCGACCTCATATTTTTCTCGGATTACCCATTTCTCATCTCTGTGTTCCCCGCCCACTTTTTTGATCTCTCAAACTCACCCCCACTGCGGATCACCCTCAGCTCATCCATCCATTACAATTCCCACCGCGGGACCGGGAAAGCGTGAATCATTTATTCCATCGCGCTCCCTATTTCTTGTAAAGGGGATCCTAGTCCTTGATCGGATCGTATCCTTCAAGAACGGGCTGGGCGTTGTTCGTGCTTGCCCTTGTCCTTGTATCTACCTTACCTCGTCAACTTCGTTGCGGTCTGAGTCTGAGTCTGTCGCATTGACAAGCATCAGCTCCTTATATTGTCCTGTCCTGTCTGTCTGTCTCGTCACGATCCAGAGATAGACATTCCGACAGACAAATAGAGAGAGCTGGCCTCCTCCCTTCGACACATATCCCGCGCATCTACAGCTCTTGCTCTCACCTCGTCGCATCTTTGCGACTTAGAGCAGGACTACGAAACCTACACCGCTGCCCAACATGGCGCTCGAACAGACAATCACCATTGTTAACAACTCCGGCAAGATTATCAAGACCGTTCGTCATCCCTTTGCGCTTGCGCATCCCAACCTCGGCTAACATTTCACAGGGCAAGCAGCTCTTTTCCATCTTTAAGGAAGCTCAGGGCAACTACAAAGACAAGAAGGCAGAGATCAAAGCCCAGCAGGGTGTGCAGCGCTCGCAATCCTTCGACGTCAATGCCCAGCCTCAAGCCTTTCCTGTAGAGCATTTCCACATCGACGATGACCGCTCCCGATATTATCCTCCTCGCGCAGGTGACCAGCGCAGCGAAGCTGGCTCACAACGCAGTCGCCGATCGCGAAGCGTCCACTCGCGACACCCCCGAGAGGACTTTGCCAGTCGCCGTGCGCTGACTCTTGATAACCTCGAGAGACACACCGAAATTTCCGCCACAGCTCCCAGCAAAGCTCCCACCCGAACTGTATACAAGGAGATCCCCATGGAGCTTGCCATGCCTCAGAGTAGCATGGCTCCCTCTGCCTACGGCGCTGGCCCTATGGTCCCCCGAAACCGATCGACTGGAGAACTAGTGCAGATGAGGCCGCGGAAGGAAATCGACATGGACCTCGCCTATGGAAGCGTCCCCCCCGATCTGAAGGACCGCACCGATCTGGACCCGCAGTACTATGATGAGAAGCAGGCCATGGGCCTTGTTCACCGCGTAGAGGGTCTCCTAACCGAAGCCAAATGTATCCACCATTCGGCTACCACGACAATGGCCGAGCTCCAGAAGAACCCAGACCACGCGGCGGCCGTTGCGCTCTCGCTTGCTGAGTTGTCAAAGATGGTCAAGAAGACATCGCCCGCTTTTCTGGGTCTTCTCAAGAGTGGATCGCCAGCTGTCTTTTCTCTCTTATCGTCCCCGCAATTCTTGATTGGCACGAGTATCGCTGCTGGTGTCACTGTTATCTGCTTCGGAGGATGGAAAATCTTCCAGAGAATGAAGGAGGAGAAGGCGGCCCGGGAGGCCTTGGCGTATGAGGGTGTGCCTATGGATCGTCCTGCACCTCTGCGAACCCAGAGCGAGTACGGTGTCGAGTATGGCCCAGGTGTCGATGAGGCCCTCATCCTTGATGACGACTTGAGTTCAATTGAGACTTGGAGACGAGGCATTGTGCCTTATGGAGAGGATGAGAGTGAAGTCGACATGGAGCTTATCACACCCTTGGCCGACAGGGAGACGAGAAGTCGCTACGGAGGAGATGATTTCGATACCAAGTCCCGCCGAAGCACAAGAACAAGTAAAACACATGAGAGTTCACGAAGTCACAAGACACACCGAACAGACGACAGCCGCCGTAGCCATCGCAGCCACAGGAGTCGTCGTGATGATGACGACAGGAGTACACGACGCGAAGATTACGCAGAGAGCATCGCCGATAGTGAGCGTAGCCACCGCTCATCAAGGAGTAAGCGTTCCGAGAGAATCGAGACGAGGTCAATCGACAGCCGAAGCAGCAGCCGACGAGACGACGAATCACAAGTCACTGTACGACCAAAGGTCAACCGCAACAACAGCAACATGCTCAAGGCCCTCTTCAAGAACAAGGAGAAGAAGGAGCGCTCTCTCGTCATGGCATAACGATCTCGCGGGATTTAATACCCCCTCATATTACACATTTTCATTTCATCATTTTTTGCATATTACCCTGGCGCATTTTAAAGACCGGTGGATGCCAACATCTACGGTAGACGAGACAAAGATTTACATTACATTTACGGACTTTTTTCTCCTTCAAGTACAGATCATGGATGGGCTAAGAAGAATGCCCTTCCCACCAGCGATTTATTCCCTTTCGTTTTCCTTGTTATTTCGTTTCCTTTTATGAATACTATGAAAGATTGCTCTTGCACACGCTTGAGTAGAGGTGGAATTATTGCATGACGCACGGAAGACAGATGACGGAGCTGTTTGCATTGGGTTGGGATTTTGGGAAGAGTTGTTTGTACTTAGGTAGCCCTGAGGGGCATTGTATACCAATACATGAGAAGTTTTATGCTTCTTATTTGGATTGTTAAATTGTGTGCCCTTGCCTAAAGATTGTGACGTTTGTCGTGGCATTTTGATGATATCAGGTTTTGGTGGGGGTTTGTAAGCGAGATGTGAAGTGTCTGTCATCATGCAGATTGACGATGGATGCGTTGGCCTCGCTAACATGCTTGCATTGCGTGACTGTTGCTTCGTTTTGATTGGTGTAGGGGCTGCTTGGCCTTTGATTTGTGATGTTGATACTGGTTTGGTTCGATCACCTTGACTACAGTGTTGAGCAAAGATGTCCTTTTGCCTCGATGTTGTCCACTGATTGCTTGCCAAACCCCATCCAAGACCTCACAGCCCAAAGCAAGCTTGGACAAAACTAGCTTGCCTAATAAGTGGTGTTTGAGGAGAACGAAGATTGCTATGGAGCGTGTTATGTTTACCATGCGGCTGTGTATGTAGTGCTGCATCAGCAGTAATGCAGCTTGCCTGGGCATGCTTGCAAACGGATTGATGCAAAGCACCATGATATAAGTAGTATATGCTTTAACAAACACGTAAGTCTGATATTACAGCAGAACTGTTGCCTTACACTTGCCAAGCTTGTGACGATAATACTGGAATTGTCGCTTGTCTTGTCTTTGCTTCGTCCAAGGTGCCTAAAAGGGACAATGACTCAGCGATTGCCATCTTGCCTATCCTTCTATTTACGCAAAATGGTATATCAGCTGAGACAAATGTCTTGGAGATGATGTGTTATTAAAAAACTGCCATCTTGTGACTGAAATGGATGACGCTGCTTGTGTTCCCGTACAAGTATAAATACCTCCTTTCTTTCCCGACACTTTGCTTTCCTTCTTCATCATTTAATGACAACTTTATTATATATACTAAATGGCCATTTCACTGATGAGGCAACTTCAAGTCGACATACAAATCCCTCATCAGTATCTTTTGGGAATCTCTCAGGCAGACCATGCCAGTTTCTCAAGTCCGCGACTATTATAAGCGAGATCTATCTCTGTGATGGTGGCCGACTTGCTGCGAGAGATAACGGAGTTTCGCCAGAAGAAGAGAACAACTATGTATCGGGCTATATATAAATGATCCATTGCAACAAGGTGTAGCTTCGGTATCAGTACGTTGTCCCAACCCTTACCTTCATGAGTACTTATACTAACATTGGAGCCTGAGTCCAGGGGTTGCCGAACAAGCACAGGCATCGACCCAATGGAGACTGCAGTGCTAGCCCCCTCTCGAAACCCATGCCTTATAAATACAACCCAGCGCATACCCGGTCACCGATACAAGGCCACAGGGAACGCCTTTAGTAAGGTGATCCTTGATCTCAAGGACATCTCACAGCTCCAAAATGATGCCGAGGAGCTGCCATTTTGTTCTCGAAGAAATTCGTCGTCCACAGAAAAGAAAGCCACAGTCTCCGAGAACGTTGTCATCGTCGAGGACCTCAAGACCGCTCGCCTCTCCGAGAGTGTCATTGCCAAGCAGAAGTCATCAAGGCCCAGTATCACGGTCAGCAGCAAGACATTTCTCATTACCCTCGCTGGTTATAGATATATCGAGATTGTCAACCGCGTCTTCCACCCCATTGCATGCGCTACTAGTGTTCAAGTTTGCACTTCTGCAGCCTTTCCGAAAACGACATCGATTGGGACGTGGTGTCCCAGTTTGCAATTTCCATGGCACCGGACAATATAGATGTCGGCGACTACACCGCTGAGGACACAAGGCTCTCTACAGACACCCACATGGGGCATACTTCCGACAGCAGGTCTTTTTGCAACCGCTTTTTCGTCTTTGGACGGAGTCTTTTCTACCGCCAGATATTGCATAGCAAGCTCGAGACACTACAGCCTCTTGATAAATTGGCAGCACAACTTGTCGCCGTATCATAAGCAAGGTCGAGTTATCCTCCTCGGACACAAATGCATATACAAAACACCTGTCGTCGACGGTGAGATCGTTTTTCTAACATCCGGAAACCTGTGCTAGAAGCAAGCTCTCGAAAACCATCGACTGCTACATCAGTTTCATGTTTAGATAGATGTCTCAACCCCGATGTTGCTGAGTCAATGCGAGTCTTTCGAAACTGATACCTATATATTACCTCCACAGAAGTGAATGGCAACCTGGGACATTTAGCGCCTTTGCTGTAACTCGTAAATCGGGACAGCGAAGTATGTCAAGTCTTCTATTCTCCGCGAGTGGGATCGAGCGGAAGACATACGGATTTGTGCAAGGGTACTCAAAGCACGAACCTTCACAACCTAGCCATTACTGGTCGACCTCGAGATATTATATATGGTTGTGATGACAGGTCTCTATGGTTATTCAACTGGACTTCCTCAGGATGGCAATAACCATGTAACAATAATATAACAGCATTTGACGGAGACCGTAACATCTATGAGGCCGACGTTAACGAATACTCTACAGTCACCTGGTATGAGAGAACATTTTATACACCAGCACTGCAATCCAACAGGTCACTATGCACCTACCTGGGAATGTAACGGTTGTGGTACTGGCTTCCGTCGACGCCAGCAGTTGAGGGATCACGAAGGATTCTCCTGCAATCCTACTCGGACAATAATCACCTACCGCAAGCCTTTAACTTATAAGAATATAGTAAACTAGTAAGTCCAACTCCATCGATCTCTTGCCAGCATGAGACTATACTCCATGACTTGACAAACTTGGAGTGGTCAACCAGGCCTCGAGTTCAAGGCCACATGAAAGCAAGACTCTTGACCGGGCAACCATTTCGACGGTACTATAAGTCGAAAGCGCCATTAGCACCAAGACATTCTTTTCTACACAACCTCCACCCCTGTCCAATGAAATGAGAGGCTGGCGCAAGTTCTACCACAAGGATCTCCCATGACACCAGCGAATTGGACCTCCAAAGCGACAACGTCCAGATGATTGATGAGGTCCTTCTGGGTAGAACTCCTCCTTCTTCGGAATGGAAGAAGCCCAAAAGACTTCGTCCGTCTTGTGATTTGAGAAAGGGGAAATCGAGTAGAAGAACTAGCGACAATGAGGACTGAGATTTCGCCACAGCCGTGAGATACCTGCTACATTATCACCGATATGCCATTCATACATAAACATCCGCGGCCATAACACAAACATCCAGCCCTCTAATGGCAGTGTCTCAGCTTTGTCAGGTATACCACCCATTCTGCCTGTCTTCATTCATCCTGACAATCCTAACCAGTTTAAATAGGGATTTTGCCATAAAGACTGGTTTCGCATATACATACACATTAACCTCAATTTACAGCGTCGCTGGGATATGAAGAATATCTTATCCAAGGACACTACACATGTGATCAAGAAGTGGTCTACCTGCGTCGGCAGCGACGCAGAGATCGCAGAAGCCTCTAACCCGGACCAATATGCACCTTGCTTGGCTTAGGGTTAATCTTGAATATGTTCTCGTGGTTAAAAAAATCTCTCTATATCTAACTATAAATTACCGCAGAGATCGCCATGCAGTATAGCCACCGAATAGCTCACCGGCCCTGAACTAGAGGACGTTGAACAGCTGAATGATGCCACAGAGAATGAAGCCTTAAGCAACCTTCATACAAACTTCAAGGTGTCTCAAACTTCGGGAAGCTGACTATTGTCGTGGACAAATTCGACAACGCATCAGATCCCAAGCCCTAGGAATGGCCTAAGAGCATTATACAAGGATTTTTTACTCTCCTATATAACCCAAAAGAGACAAAGATGCCATTCTTACACTTGGAGAGAAGATCGGTATATTTTGTTGGCGCCGCCACGCAAGGAGGCTGAGGAATGCTCCTCGCCGACCTCTCCCTCAATATACATGGCTTTGTTCGAGTATGATGTAGAGTATGATGTACTGTATCTCGGTCTATACAAGTCTTCCCATCGAGGGGTTCTATAATCAGGAACCAAAAAGTCTCTTCACTGTCCGCATAAACTCGACGGAACTCACGTGGCCCATCCTTAAGGCCCCGGAGGGGGAAGCCGTGGTCGCGCTAGAGACCACCAACGGATCACAAAATTTCGACGACGCAGATAGCATGGTAGCAGACGACGAGACCGTTATTTAAAGAAAAAGAGAGCGCCCAGAAGGGTGCTGGTATTCACACCAGAGACCTCTCACGAGCCAACTGCCACCGACCAGCCAGCGAACGAACCCGATGTTGCTTACCCCAACTCGGCTGGCTTGGTCATCTAAGAGAAATTTCAGCGAACGAAGAAGAAACGGAAACTTTCTTTGAACGTGTCATTGGCTGAATCCAAGGGATATCTGGTACTGAGGAGCGACTGCAGCATTTCATGATATGATGCTGCGAACGTCTGGACTCATCACCACTCTTTCACAACATCTCCTCTACCCACTCTAAAGACTGCATCGCTGTCGGTCTCTTGAGTTCATGCAACATGCATAGCATAAGGAGACGAAGATGATATAGTCTACGTCCTATTCACTAGCATATGCAAGGAGATAGCCACTGATGACGGCACAAACGTGCTTATCTCTCTCGTCTTGAAAGAGAGAAAATAAGTCAAGAATCGCTTCACAAAGCTCAAGACTGAGTCTAAGGCAACCCTGGAACCTCCCCCACAAACAAGATTGGGCTGAATGACCCATCCACATTGGTCTTCACTAGGGCTTGTCCCTCAAGGCATCCTCGAAAAAGTGCAAAAATAGTTCAACAGCAAAATCAACGCCGTCATTCAAAAGTACAATCTCACTGATGAAGGTTGGCAATTCAGACTTGCGCGCGTTCATCAACCAACATGGCGGCTTATTTGGCATGGAATCTACCGTGAGAAACGAACTTGTGTCCAAAAGGCATTGTGCAGGATCCCAAGGACAACAATGACCTATACTACCGTGGCAATAAGACTACTGCATCTAGCAACCTTAGCGGCTGCAGCTCTCGCCTTCAACGTTCAGCTCGGCTAGATCATCAGACAGTACCTTATGCCACATATACTTCGACAGCGCCGGGTTCACCGCGCCTCGGCGGCATTTTATTATGCTGGCCGCCTCGTTCACGTTCCATGTGCCAGTAACCTCCAGCCCCTACATATTGTCGACTCATACGACAAAGGAAGGCTGGTCTGGTAACTCTCCACGCACATGATAATCGTCGACGATATCAGAAAAGCAAATCTGGTGGAGCTCTGCACACGAAGTAGCAATCAACAGCTATGGCACAATGGATCTGAAAGCCGGAATAGAACCCGATGACCCCATAAGATACGAGAGTTACCGCGCATATCCCACAGTGCAGAGCAAACTATTGTAGAAGAAGCTGGTCAGACTCCATAAAGTCCTTTGTCATGACAAGAATTTTACGCTATATCAGGAACGACTCAATAAATATGTCACATCTCGTCGAACAAAAGACTCAATGACTGTGTTCAAGCCTTTCAATTGACGGCAACAGGCGTTCTCAGACAGCACAGCTAACCAAAAGCCCCCTGCCGTATGGTTGCAAATGACACAGAGGAAAGCCAATCTCTTCCAAGATCAAAAGTTATGAGAGGGGACTACAAGGAGGTCTTGGTTCATGCCATCGCCGCCCTTATCAACATCGCTCGTACCGGGTTGAGCCGCAATATCACCACCCACGAGATCCACCTGGCTCTCGCATCCCCCCAAATACGATTTATGTGATGACTATGGATCACTCTTGTTCCTACCGACTTGCATTCAAATCTGCCACGAGTGCTCCCTTGGTTCATACAACTAGATGGTACAACATGCTTCAGCCCAAGTACTCCCGGTTCTTCGACTCATTCTCCCAAGCTTTGGAATAAGGAAGCACAATAAAATTAATAAGAAGTGATCTGGGCTGTCTGTCTTCCCTTTTCGTGGAAAATCCTTTCTCTATGCCCCAGGCCTGAGCGACTCTGGCCTCATCTGGAGAAAACCGGGACAAATCGGCCACCTCCGTGAAGAGAGGCCCTGTCTACAACATGTTTCTCTCTCTGAAGCGCCCAGGTGAACAAGAGAAGACTGGCACCGGCTGAATAAAAACTTCCAATAATCAATATTCGCCGTTGATTCATAGACCTGCCATCGTCCCATGCCCCAAGGCGCCCAAAGGAGATGAGTTTATCTGTAGCCCAAAGATGACAAAGGAGTATATTGAGGTGGGATTTATTGTCGGTGATGACCCTGAGAAACACTTAAGTAAAGGTATTCCAACCAAGGGTACCATAACCAAGAGTACTGAGGCGAGTCCGAGATCTACGAGATCACCAAGGCCCAGAGTCTCAACATCAAGACTCTTGGAAAGGCCCCGAACTCTGGCATGCGCCAGTACCTGATCTAGTCTCGTATCTAAGCGGTATATATAAGCAAAACGTCCCTATCTTTTCTTTATTATCGGTATCAGTTTCCGGTCGGATAACCGCCACCATGGATACAGCGGCGTGACGATTGCCACGCCCTCAAGTCACCACCACCATCGTCCAGAAAGCAATCTATTGGCGCAAACAGGGAGGACCTGTCTGCAGCATACCCCTAGACGAGATTCTATCAAGGTACGAGGTCGGGGCGGACTTACGCCTGTACGACGACGAGTTCGTACAGCCGCTCCAGCTACAACAACTGTACGGTATGTTGTTTAGTGATGATTTGATCCCCCCGGGATGAAGCCTCCTGGGATTTCGTCCTGGCCTGGGTTAGATTATTCTTAATT